ATGGAGAATGCAACAGTTGCCCGCACACCCGCCCCCCCGCCGGACGACGTCATAGTTACCAGTCCAGATTCTCCATCAATCGAGTGGCCAGCCACACTGAACGCAGGGGGAGGCAGGGCCTGTGTCGGTCAGTCCATCCAATGCTCCTCTGGAATTGGTGGCTGGCAAGACGAACCCAAAGTTCCCTAGCAAAGCACCCTGCTTTTATAATCCTCCTCTCTGTTGAAAGCCACGTATTCTGCTGTCAGCCTGCGACGGGAATTAATGGCTCATCAATCTGCCAATATCCAATCGTCCTATGAGTTGGGGTACGCAGCGATGGCTCCTTTCAGTCTAACAAGCTCTGGCTGTGGGCTCGGGCTAGGGTGGAGAAGTTTGGAGGGGCAGGCTGCCCCAGGCCTGCGTCTGGGCGAGAGGACCCTCAGCAGCACCTGGAGTGGGGAAATTGCAGCAGCTCGGGGGGGGGGGGGGGCTGGGAAGAGGGGTCTCTCCCTGCCAGAGCCTTGAGAGGTGCTTAGCAGCAGCTTGGAGAAGGCTTAGCTGGGGAGATGCCTCTGGGGGGGAGAGGTACAACCGTGCAGACGATCTGATGGTCACCCTCGCCCAGCGCCTTCGGCTGACTCCTGCATGTGACGCTGCATTGAGGGTGGTGCTCCCCTGCCCGGGCACTGGGTGCTGCCAGGCGGCTGGCAAGCTGGGCTAGTGCTCGTGGGGCTGAGCCGCACTGTCCCTCGGCTGCTGGCGGCCCAGAGCGGAGGCGCTGACTCCCCAAGAACTCCGCTCCCAGCCCCTCTCCTCCTCTTGCCCCCAGCTACGAGGAGAATTCTGCGCCCAAGGAGGGGTCTGGAGACGCCACAGACGCAGCGACGGAACAGGAGAAAAAGGAGAAGTGACCTTGCACGTCGGGGCCAGGATGGGCGTGTCGGGACCAGGCCGGGCTGGGATCCACACTCCCCCCGCACGGGATGAAGACGAAAAGACCAGTTGTGTATCCGCATCATGTGCGTGTGTCTGTGTGCGTGTGTGCGCGTGTGTCCGGAGAAACCGTCGGGGTGGGAGCGTACAAGCCGCAGCGTTCTGCCCGAAGTCCTCCTGCCCCCCCGGCGCCCCCCGGGGCACATCCGCAGCCACGCTCCCTTGGTTTATTTCATTTCTCCTCGTCTCCTAAATGGGTAGAAAAAGGGGAGGGGCAAACCCCCGGGCTGGTTTTTAAATTTTGTATTGTGGACTCGCTTTCTCTCATATTAAACCATCTGGAAGGATGGAGGCGCTGTGTGGGTCTGTTCCTGGCAGCCAGTTGTGGGGAGGAGCTGGCCTCTGCCTTGGGTCCCAGTAGGGAGAACGTGCAGCACCCCAGAGCAGTGGCTCCGTGGGGGGGGGGAACCTTTTGGGCGGAGAGGAGGCTGGCTAGGAACCTGTGACCTTTGGCATCGCCAGCTTGTGTGGGGGGAGGAGAGAATTTCTGTCCTAGGTGCTCATGTGGGCCTTTATCTGTGCGCTGGTCAGAGCAGTTATCCCATTGTACAGATGGGGAAACTGAGGCCCGAAGCGCTGTGCCTTGAGGTGTCTGAGCATCTCTGGCAGAGCAGGGCTGAACCCGGGTCTCGCAGGGCTCAGGCTAGGCCCAAACCTCTTTCCTCCCCCGTTACCGTCTCACGGGAGTCGAGCGACGGCCGAGGTGGCTTGGAGAATCCCGCTCCTCACCGCTGGCCTCGGATCATGTGCCTCCTCCTTGGCCAGTAGCAACGCCGCAGTGAAGCATCTCTGGCCGCTCCCTGGGCAGAGGACCCGGGCAGGCACCGGTGCTTGCCTGGGCAAAGCAGGCCGGGACCAGCCCTGCTGGGCACCCTGCGAGGAGCCCCCGCCAGGGGGCACTGCCGCCTGGCTGGCCAAGGGCAGCAGGTTCCCTGCCTCCCAGAAAACCCGGGAGGAGACGCCTGGACCCTGCTAAGGCAGCAGCACTAGAGCAGCTGGTGCAGGTAGGTGGGGGAGGGGACAGAGGGTCCCCTGGGGCACTGCTGCTCGGAGCAGGGGGAGTGAAGGTATCAGTGCGGTGCCCATCTGTGCCAAGCATCAAGAAGCCAGGAAATGTGCCCGTGTGGGGGAGGGGACCAGTTGGAATGAGTCCGATCCGTTCCCTGCCCTCATCCTGAGCCTTCCTTTCTCTAACTCCTGGGCCTCGGCACCCCAGGCTCCGTAGCCAGGATCCTGTCCCGGGGCAAAGGGATTAGGCAGCGCTCAGACCCCCATTCAGCTGCGTGGACTGAGGCTGCCAACCCCTGGGTCTGTCACCTACTGGTTGCGCCCGGAGCCCCGATCGGCATCAGGGCCCTGTTGTGAGAGAGGCAGAGGTAGAAAGGGAAACTGATCTCCCGCTGCTCTTCCCAGCCTGCCCTGCTGGGGACCTGGAGCAGCAGGACCGTCCCCTCTCCCGCAGGGCTGGCCAGCAGGGAGGCAGGCGAACCTCACTTCCCCGCCCCTGGGCGCCAGCTCTGCCGTGGGACCGAGACCAGGGTCTCAGCATGGTGGGCACAAAGGTCAGAGGCTTCTGGGGGCAAGGGATCCCCTGCTGGCGTCTCCTCTGCTGCCCCTCTGCCCTTGGCCAGGGGTGGCCGTTCCCCGGAGGCCGGGCAGAGCATAGGGGTGGGGGCCTCCCTGCTCGCCGGGAGGCTGCTTGGCCAGAGCTAGTGCTGCTCCCCGTAGCGCAGAGTGTTCGGGCTGCTGTGCATCTGCGGGTTCAGGGCCCCGCAGGCCCAGCCTCAGGCTAGAACAGCTGTTTGCCCACCACCCGGGCTCCCCTTGGCAGCGAGCGCCTGGCCGCTCCACCTCGGGTCAGAGCAGTCTGGGGGCCTGGGGGGCCCCTGGCAGGAGCAGTCTGGGAGCCTGGGGGGCCCGTGGCAGGAGCAGTCCGGGAGCCCTGGTGCTGAAAGCCCCGGACGTGGGGCTGGTGGTGCGGATCCCCGCGGCGAGGGATGGGGGGGGGGTGGCCCCCCGCG